GGGAAAGAGGACTTAGTAAACTTACAATCAACATTTCTTTTCACATTTCCCCAGACGTTTTGTTGGTAGTATCATCACAAGGAGAAGAGGCAGCAGGCAGAGAAACAAACAAGACATGACTAGAGTGAGGAAAGCCTATTTTGCCTCTTGTTAAAGCTAAGGGGAAACATGTCATCAGCAAGAGGCTGAAATACTTTTCCATGCCTCACCCTGAGTGGTGACTGTTCTTGTTCTACACCAGGTGAGGAAACCCAACAACATAATTATGATGAGGCTGTTACAGGGAATAAAGGTGGAGATAGGAGATTCAGGAAAACACAAACCAGCATAATAGAACAAGAATTCCAAACACAGCTTTGGCTTTCTATTTATGTCAAAACAAATTCATTTAATAAAGTCATACATAGAATTGGAAAGCACTGTGAGGACCACTAGTGTCACACAAGGAAAGAACATAATTCTCTCTTTCATAGCCTCTTCTGAGGCATTTTCCTGTAGAGCAGGTGACTTAGCCCTCTGACTGTTTGAAATGTGGACAAGCATCTGTAATTAATCATCAGAAAGGAATTATGTTTTACATGGCGTAAATATAAGAGTTCCTAAGTAGTAACAGGTTTGTGTGTTAATTAAGGCATTTACCCTAATGCAACTGGTTGAATTTAATACAGAATAATGAACGTCAAAGATTGTATTGTGTTATTAGTTGTGCTATTCTATTTATTTACCGATCATCATCAGTATGATCAGTGCTGTACAGAAACAGCTAGTCTCTAAGGAGTGATTTTCAAATGTTTTTAATTCCATCATAATGATAGGGTCAGATAAAAGAAAAGGAAAAAAAGAAAGGAAAAAGAAAAGTGCCCAGAATCCCATAAATAGCAGGCATTAGTAATAAGCCGTTAAAAATTAGGGTAGGCCACAGTGAATGCAAGTAGCATGAACTTAACACCATGTACTGTGGGCTATGTTGCACATTACACTTAGGACATGTTAACTGCACTTAAAATGCTGGCATCCACACGTTCAAACAGTAAAACATATGGATTGTACCACAGCAACCTTAGAACATTTTGCAGGAGGAATATCTCCAGATCATATTGAGTAACATGTTTTTAGAGAGATCACATGGGCAGCACACCAGTCCTGAACAACCTCCAGTCAGCTGACCGTTGGTCCCAGCCCTGACATCTCATGGAGTCTTGAGCCAGCTCCAGTGCTGTGCTGTGGCCCAGATCCAGAATCAGCTAATCACAGTAAACATGATTGAGTGATTGCTTAGAATATGCCCTAACTTTAATACCACAGAGACTAAACATGTATTAAGTGACCTGGGTGACAAGGCTCTATGAGAAGTCTATTGAATGCTAATGGGAACTACCCAAAAGCTCATGGAGTTAAACATGCGCATGCACATCTTTGCAAGGACATCCTAATGGATTCACTTTCTACTTGCTTTACATGATTCTCATTTCTAAGGTTTAGAAATTAAAAGAGAGAAGCCAAGACTTCCAGAGGTCAGGAGAGTAAAATATAAAGGTAGTACTTGAACAGCAGCTTTTGGCACAATATAAAGACAGTACATCTTACTGTGGATGAGAAAGTGATTTAAAAGATTTAATATCGGAGTGCTAAATAAATGACTTAAGATACTAACAACAGTATAACCAGTAATGTTTGTCATTGTAAGTTGTCCAATGTGGAGCCATACCCAGTTTTAATTAACTGGCTTTATTCCAAAGAAAATTATGTTATTCTAACACTTGAAACATATTACAGAACTAAAGTTCTGCAGGATCTTTGGGTTCCATTATGGAAATTATACTCATTTAGGATTTTTGCTACTTCTACTTTTTTCCAGGGCTATCAGGGGTGAAAACCATCAACCTTGATAGTTCCTAAGGAGCCCAACATGTGAGCTAAAAACTACTCTGGTCTCCATTGTTGTCATAACATATTGAGAAAGTAATATCTTGTATTGAATAGGCACTTTTGTACCATGGACAAAAGAGAGTGAGTGAACAGAATAAATGCACTTTATAGTGGCAGGTTGAAAATCAATTGCTCTCTGAGTTGGTACTAAACTACAAAAAAATATTTTTTATGGAAAAGTAAGTACACAAGAAATAAATCATTAGTACACAGGAGATGGTATAATACTAAACAGTTGTTCTTATGTGTGTGTAAATATATACATAATGATGCAGTAGGCCAGAAAGATTTTATTGATATAAAGGTTAAATTGCTCTATCACAGCTCATTCTAAACTTTTAATACCACATTACTAACAAACACTTTACCTGTAAAATGTTGCATATGCAGTCTTTCAGAATATGTTGCTCTAAAATATTTCCAATGTATAGAATAGAAATGGAATATTCCCTGCATCCCTTTGCAACAGATACAGGAGTACTTTTTAATACTTCTGATCAACACATCTAGATTATTAATAAAATATATTTCATCCTAGAAATCTTACTGGAGAGCAGAGATTACACAACTATAATGAAAGGGAAGAGGACATTCCTAACAGTTGCTTAACAACTTCCACTTAATGTCTATAATGATATAATGCCAGCAAACTTGAAGACTTAATGTCACTAGCTCAATCACCAGGGCAGACCCTGAACCTATTAGAACAAGAAAGGTCAGAAACTGCATACAAATGAGAAAGAACCATACCAGGTTCTGAATTAGACAGACTCAGGCTTACCCTTTAGCATTGGAATACTGATCCTTTAAATGCCAGTGACAAAAATGCTAGGGCAAGCAGGATGCATGCCATGGACACAGCCATGTCAGCAGAAGGGTTTTTTTTTGCTACCCATGACATCAGCTCCCCTGAACAGCAGAAGCTGCCTTCTGTCACTAAATATCTAAACTGTGAGTTTGGTAGCATGATTGAGTGGATTGAGAGATGGGATCCCAACCAACACAGTCGTGCTATCAGAATTTTTAAGATAAACAAGGCCTCATATACACAGAGGGTCAAAGTCTAAAGAACAGCAATTTAAAGCCACTTTACTCTTTAATAAGAACATCCATTAGTAATTAATTAACTAGACCGTATGTGCACTGACAACACTCCTTTAGTTGATTCATTTTAACTTTCCTGAGTGTCCCTATATGGACAATCCCTTAGAGTAGTGATTCTCAACCAGTGTAGTATGGTATCTGGGATGCTTTCAAGGATGAGACAGGGTGCCATGCAATGTTAGCACTGTTAAGTATGCAAGCATGATTCACAAAATATATCCAGAGATTTCAAGTAGGAACCCATATTGTTAAAAACATTTGGACCTGTTCTGGGTCTTGTTACACCTTATGCTGTGAGCTGCACATATGCTGATCAGTATTAATGCTACCTCAAGCATGGAGCAGTCACAACTTAAGGCTAACAGCCTTCACTGACTGTCTCCTACCAGCACACCTGTGACTTACTACTAGAGGCCTGGCAAGTAGGGAACTAACTAGGAACTACAGCTATACATTGCCACTGCAGGGCTGGTGAGCCAGGACAGGCTTCTATTCCTGCTCTGGAGATGAGCTGGGGTGGTATGGGAGTAATGAAATGGGATGGGTAATGAAATGGGAGACGGAAAGGAAATGGAGATGGGGGAAGACTGGTGAAATGAAGGAAGTCAGCCACTGAAGGATAAAACAAAAAGTAGTAAATAAATTTAAAAGAAATAAAGGAAGTAAACTGAGGTGGGGGAGTGCTGGTCATGCTTCTTGGGTAACTGGGAAGTGGAAGCAGTAAGGGAAGGGTGCTCTTGGGGGAGTGTGGCAGGGCACTGTTGGTGCCTGCCACTTTAAGGACCAGAAGGCAGCAGCCGGCAGGTGCCTAATGAGGCATTTTGGATCTGGGGCTGCCCATATAAAGAGGGCAGTTCTGCTGGTGGAGGCCAGCCAACACTGCCTGGCCGCAGAGCTGTGGGTATCATCTGGAGGTAAGGGAGGAGCTGTAGGGGATGGTAAGGAGGCTTCTGGTCCTGGGTCGGGGGTGGGTGGCTGCTGGGGCTCTCAGTGGCCCGGGAGCCCCCAGGAAATGCCAGGCCAGTTACCACCCCAGTGAAAGGTGGGTTGGGATGTCTTAACCCCTAGCCCCCACAACTGGGTGGGTGACCCCTTTGTTTGGAGGACCCAGAGGGTGGACCCTTGGAGAGTGCGAAAAGGGCCATAGACGCAAGGCCTGTCTGAGCTCCCCATGACTGGCCTATGCTGGGGCCAGGACTGGAATGGTTGAAGGGCCGAGGGCCCACCATGAGAAACGCCCAAGAGCTGTGTGCCTGGTGTTCCAACTGGCCTGGAGGTGGGCCAGGGCTAGAGAGCCGAAGGTTCCAGTGGGGGGATCACACCCGAAGGGGGATCAGTTCAGGGAGCTATGGTGCCCAGTAAGATGGTAGAAGAGGCTGCCTGAGGGGAGGAATCCAAGTG